TGGTACAAGATTCAGGAAATTTTGCTAGAGGCCAAGCGTAGAACCCTGTCATACCCCAATCCTTCTCACTCCACTGTGGGAGTTTCCTCACCTGCTGCTTCTCTCGTTCTTCCTGCTGCTTGAACTCATCCAGCACGGCCTGGAGACGGGTCTGCAGAGACAAATATGTGAGAACATGGTTACCAATGTGTTCTCAACTGAATGGATGCTGGCACAACACGTAAAATGGTGCAGCAAGTTCCAAGCTGCGTTGACAACCAGCTCCCTCATCTCCTGAAATTTCATGGATTGCTTTGCCTCCATGGTGAAATGTTGGAGTGTATATGGTCACACCACAATCATTTTTTACCCAGCAGGCAAAGGCCCCTGGCTTTTTCAGGACAGCAGCAAAATACCTACCGGCAAGCCAGTGCTAAGCAGAAGACTTGAAGAAACCCCAGGAGAGCTCTAACCTTGAGGGCTAGGTTCTCCACTTTCATGATGAGATCTTCCTGGCGCTTCCTCCTGTCCTGCGTCTCCTGGAGTTTACTTTTCAGGTTGTCAATCTGTTTCTGAATCCCCATGACTGGAAGAGAGAATGAGCTCAGACCCAGCACAGCAGCAGAGCTGCGCACCGCAGCCTGTCTGTGGCAGGCAGGCACCTCAGTGATTCCGTTGCACTCTGCCACCAACTCACCTATCTGGTTGGACCCCTCATTCTCCTGTTGCTGCCCATCAGACTCATTCAGCTTGTCCTGCAGCTGCCTCTCCAAGTCCTCCTCAGTGTCCATGATGTTCAGGTCTTCATCATCATGATGATCCCTCTCATCTTCATCTTCGCTGCTGCTGCTGATATCATTAAATATCTCCCGCAGTTCATCATGTTCTAGAGGGGTGCAAAAGGGAAGAGGAAAAACACAGCACGTTTTGCCTGCCAGGGACCATGTCAGTACAGGGTGCTTGTCTCAATGCCCTCTCTCCTTCGCTCTGGCTAGGGCCTACCCCAGAGGGAATGGGCCCAACTGATTACTTAGTGGCTAGAAAGAAAACAGCAGCCTTCCCCACTGTACCTGAGGAGCCATGGCCTTGCTTGTGTCCTGACATCCCTGGGGAGGAGATGTCCAGGCTGGTGAGTGAACCATGGTTGTCTACTTCTTTTGTTTCATCTTCAGCAATGACTTCCCAGCCTGACAGCAGGAACAGATAAGTCAAGGGAAAAAGATCCAGTATGATGGAAGAATGCTAAAAACTGCAGGAGATCACTGCCTCTCCAACAAGCCTAGCCTTGCAGCTATGGATATCCAGGATGAACCACCCCAGCATGCTTTTTTTGATGACTTCTCCTCTGCTGTTACTTAAGTTCCTGCTCAGTACAGTCCACAAGGAAGGTCACCATGAAGAAACAATAAGCTCTGAACGAGGCAAAGATGAAGTTTCAAAACTTCAGCACCTCTTGTGTGCTTATCTCCCAGTCTCTCTCAACCACACAAAGCTGAATTTGTCCCTCCTTTCCACAACCCCCAGGCCACATGCAGTGTCCTGTCCCCCAGTTGAGCTTTTTTTCTCCTAAAAGGATATGAACACTGACAGCTTCAGCATCTGTGCTCAGGAGACGCTTCACCTCTTTTTCCACATCAGGAGACTCAATATACTGGGCCAGAGAGGGGAAGGAGAACAGAGACACTGTTAAATGCTTCTTGCAAGCTGCTGGTGCTGGTCAGCCCCTCCACCTCTGAACGGCACACTATTTCAAGCCTTTCTTCTCTTAAGCATTCTGCTCAGCCTCTGCTCGTGCTCACCCTAAAAGTAATTTATGCACCTCCAGAAAGCAATCCGTCTTTTTTGTACAGAGCTCCTTGGTGGGTTATACACTCTCACTTTTCTACTTATACTGCTTATGAAATAAGACTTTCCGTGTGTATGCAGAAAGTCCTTGAGGTGCTGTTTCCTGATGGATGGTCAACTCAACTCCTTTTGAGCTCATTCAAGAGGTGGTTTCATTTTTCACTTTTAAATTAGCCAGGAATCTTAATGAAGTGACATCAAATCTCTCCTGTGGGCTATAAGAATGTCTCAAGTAATTTGTTTCCCAAATGTCATGCAAAATAGCACTCCATCCTGTTCTCAGAAACTGCAAAGCAGAGCAGAACAAGTCTTCCCAGCCTCACGGTGCTGCATCTCCCCAACACCTTGCCTGGCTTATGCATATGCACAGAGACAGTCTCTGAGCTCCATCTGTTGTCACTCCCCCAACTGACATGACAGTTATTCTATTTGTAGTATTGCTTGTTGGGGAAGTGAACGGGCCATGCATAGAGAGAAGATTTCAGC